AATTTAATCTGGATGATTATTAAAATATTGTATTGACAATAAATAATTCGGTGTTTAATTATTAATCTCAAGATGTTTTTAGCATAATTATTTCATCACGTTCACATTTGTTTATATTTAATTATGTTTATTTTGTCAAAAACTGTAAACTAATTACGATTGCAACAAATAGTACACAGAACAAGTTTTTAATTGCATTTCATTGGAAATATAGTGCTAATGCAATTATTAAAGCAAATTAAGAATTAATTTATACATTAATTTATTAACTATAGTATTTTTAGATAATAATAAAAGTATAAAAGTATAATATTATAAAATAATTTAATCTAAATATTTATTAAAAATAATGTTAACAATAGTTTGGTGTTGGTTATATTCTCAATATTAATGTGAACCAGGAATTAAGCAATAACAAGTCACTTACATTAACTAAGTTATATAATTAAGCTTGCATATTAGCTATCTGAATTTACAGTAATTATAGTTAGAAGTTCTTAACTTATTGTAAGCAAATGACTAGTTTTATTTAATTTATATAAACTGCGAGATTGTATTACTCATATAGTTAAGAACTGTAATAAAAATACAATTTAATGTTATATAAATATGATTTAATTTTATACACATTATAGTGGGGACACGCAATCCGTCACATACGCTACATATTACACATTTAGTTATAATTAAGAAATCATAAAATAATTTTTACTTTATAATAAAATTAATCAATAGTTTAATAGATATTCTTAACCAACGTTGACTAATAATATTTTGATAATCTTATATCAATGTAAAAGTTTATCAAATATTTTTATATTATTCTTGAATATTATTGAATTTACAATATTATCATAAAATTAATGAAATAAATAATACAAAGTAAATAATCAAGTTTACAATTAAGAAATTCAGTGCAAGTTATCAAAGAATGGCAGTATTGGGTTTGCCCCGCTCAAAAGTGTTATTAACAATGACAATATACAGTACATTACAAACCAACCTTGGTACAGTTTGCAATGTTTTAATAAAACAGCATTTTTGTGCTTAGGATATACTTTAAGTCAATGCAGTTCCCAATCAGTTATGTAGTGTTGAAATGTATTGTTATACTGAAAAATAATTATTATATTAAATTATATTAAAATATGTGTAAAATATTAAGTTAACTATAGTGTATAGGAAATGCGCCGTTCATATTTGTATCCGGGTCATAATGAATACATGATTTATTATTTTGAAAGTGTTCCGTGTAAAGTGTTCCTGGTAAAGTGTTCCTGGTAAAATGTTCCTGGTAAAGTGTTTCTGGTAAAGTGTTCCTGGTAAAGTGTTCCTGGTAAAGTGTTCAAGATGTATTAATTAAAATAAGCATTTTATTAATTACTGTGTTGTACTTTATATATTTAAAATATGCTTTTAATAATTAGTTCATAAATTTTAAAAACTGCTTTCTGAACAATTAGGTTACATCACATGTATATAATTCACATAAAGTTATAAAATAATATTCATTTATTACAATATTAATAATTTAAAAATAAATTACAATAATTAAAATAAATAATATTACAAAATCTTAATATCATGCATTTAAATTATAATAATGTTAAACAATAACATCAGTAACGGATTTAATGACGAGATTATCTCTAATCTGTTTATCCGAAACATTAGATTCGGTGCAAAATATAACACACTTTTTGTCGTCAAATATAAAGAATGCGTTTTTCATGAAATGACCGCTAATTCCAGTCTTCGGCCAAAAGTCCAGCGAAACAAACGGTGCGATCGTTTTGGACGATAGGCTTATACTAAACGTACGGCTGTTTGACAGAGAATGCGGGCCCACAGGGGCTGAACCCTCGGCCCCCTTAACCTCCTTCACGTCCAACACTTTGATATTAGGCTGAATTATGTGCGAGTTTTTGGGCTCCGGTAACAGTAGGAAATTATTTGCCTATAAATAAAGTTAATTTATTTTTAAGCTATTATATTATTAATTCTAACTTATTGTTAACCTAGCTAATTTGTCCCATTCTAACTAATTAACATGTGAACTATATTTTATTATTATGCACTTAATTATATGGTATACCTGTAATTTGCGCTCGGTGTTTGTCACCTCTATACTCAACACCCAATCACTGTGACAGTCAGTTTGAGGACATTTGGCCACTCTATACAGTTCGGCAACAGTTATGTTATACACAAGTTGTGCGCTGAAACTGTCGGACGAGTGGCAAGACTTGTGCTCATAAATGGGCCGATTCTGTGACCAATCGTATACTTTGACCGACAAATCAAAGTCCAGTTTCCCGTAATACTCGTTGCGAACTAACGATACCTATAATTAAATGTCATTTTTAATTGATTTTATAATTAAACTAAATTAAATTAATGGTATATTTATTAATTTATTTATAATAAACATTTCTTAATTATAAACATTAATTGCATGTTATATAGTATATTGTAATAATTACACATAATTATTATGCTGAAAACAACTAACCTTAATGATATTATTATCCAAATGTGGTGACACCAATAGGTTATGGTAGAAATGTCGGGCAAATGAGTGCAATATTTTTCATTTGCCGCCGAACTCTATGGAAGCCCAGGTCGGCGCCGGCCATATGTCGTTCAG